ACTATGTGAAGCACTTGCTGAAAGACTCGAACGGTGACATCAGCCCAAATCTGGCATCTTGCAGCGAGGTCTACCTTTTGTTTCTTTGTGATAGGTAGGGGTAGAGTAATGGATGTAATGGATGTAATGGGCGGTTTGTTAATCTCCTTCGTTGGTGTTTGTCCACAACAGGGAGGTGCGGACGCTGTGGATAGAACCAAACATCTTTATAACAATATCTAATCATAGACCATATCTAAACCATTTCCCTCACTATCCAACCGTCGGCCGCCGATCAGCGGATAATTCCTGGCCCGTTCTGCTGCGTACGACGTACGAGGCATGTTTGGTGCAGCACGGTGACCCGGTGATCATCCGGCATCCGACCGTGGTCCTTTTTGCCGAGACTTGCCTAGTAATCGGTGGCATGTTTGCTGCAAAGGGGTCGGAGGATTCCCGTGCTGTTTGGGGGTATATAGGTCTTTGAAGATCTTTATGGCACCAGGGTTGAGCAGTCTGTGTCAGGTGGCTTGACAAAAGTCGCCCGCTACCAAAGGTGTTTGGATTTTTTGGTATATATAATATAATATAAAATAGTACAATATAATGTAATATACTTACATTTTTTCATATAATATAATATAGTATAGTATATAAATATGTTTTTAAAGTGGGTGCTACACACTGGTGCAGATAAGCAAACAGCGAGCTAAGCAGCTAAGCTAACATCCCACACTTTTCCTTCTGGATCACCCCGTCTCAGCCTGAGACCACCTACCAAGGACGTGCTGTGGCAACGCCTCGCCAGCTATCAATTTATGGCCTCCAAGATCTATTTCCTTTTGACTCTCTGCGCTTTGGCGGAAAAAAGAGCAAGGCATGCCGATTGCTGGGGAAAAATGGACAAGTTGATCAGCTCAACTCGTTTTGAAGCAGTCAGCAAATTCCTATGAGGGGTTAATTCAGTTCTGTGGTTTCTTTGGATCAAGTATATATCACTGTCACGTTTCGCCATGTTGCTTGATACGGCTTGTCATGTATTTTCTTGTCGATTTGCCCAGTTTTTTTGATGTAGAAAGCTGGAAACGATGGCCGTCACTGAGGTCTTTTCGTGGTCGGTCAGGCCGCCCTCTTTCGGCACAGCTCCGAACAGACTCAGGTGGAGAACGTGACCATGTTCTGCTGTCGCCTCATGCAGCTTGGGCTCAAACATGGAGAGTCGGCCCCAGGGGCAGGGGATGTTCCAAATGACTCCACTGAAGACCGGATTCTATGTTGAACAGATATTGGTACGGAAATCAAGCAAGCAAAGCGGCAAGAACCCACTCATTGGGGGGTCCTACGATTTTGACACGACGCTGCGCTGTGCTGCCGTGCACTCCCAGGAACTATGTGGCCAGCCTCGGCCCTTTGACGATCCATGAGGTTCGACAGCTGGTGGCGGATGTCCGAGCAGGGTCCTTTGAATCCTTTGGCTGTTTGACGGACCCTCGGAACAATCCCACAGGTTAGGCAAGGTGAGCAGACAGACAGAGACAGACAGAGACAGACAGAGACGCAGAGACAGACCGACAGAGACGGACAGCCAGACACAGCCAGGTAGGAGGCTAGGCAGGCAGACAGACAGAGAGACAGACAGAGAGACCGAGAGACGGAGAGACGGAGGGGGAGAGAGAGAGAGAGAGAGAGAAAAAAGAGGGAGGGACATTTATTGCGACGAAGGTTGTGATGGCTGTGCGCACGGCTGAGGTTCCCAGATATTTGCTCAGTTTCCATGAGTGCCTTCGACTTGCCCTGATGTGGCTCCTCATCATCATGTTCTCCCAGGAGCCTTTCCTTTATTGCCTGAGCGACAAGCAGGGCATCACTATGGATTGCCAGCAGGGGCGGCAGCACCAAGACCTGTACTCTGGCTGTGCCTTGCCACTGGAGGGGGAGAGAGGGCAGCCATTTTTGTGTTTGTCGTTTTGCCTGAGAGCGACCAGAAATGCATCCAGCCTGCGCTTTACGATCTCAGATGTAGTGCAACCGGACCACACGAGCTCCGCGCCACTTCAGTACAGTTCAGTTTTAGCATCTCTTTCACTCTTTCATCTGAGTTCAAGTCCTTGGATTTTGCATTGGTTTGCAAGGTGCCTTCTTGGCCATGATCATTTTTTGGATACAACTGTTGGACTTGGCAATTTTTTCCGAGAAGATCATGGCATATGCTGCCTGGCGCATGGGTGGTGTGTACGAATGTCGCCAGTGGATAGGACGAGAGCTATTGTAAGGAGCTACTGGCTCAGCTAGGGTATTATTAAGCACCTTCCTTTGAACAGGCTTAGCTTGGGTGAAAAGGGCCAGGGGGCCTCACTATTCACAGCGGGGGGCGAAGGGTTCAGGTGCTGCAAGATTTCCGTCAACTGTGGTCAGACAGTCAGATGGTCAGACGGCCAATTCCTTCCACTTTGCTCAGGTTCTCGTGTGCAGCCGTTTGGTTGCAGATACGGCTCTATTCCTTTTGGCCCTGCTCACCATTCTCTTGGCCTTTACTGCAGCCATTGGCACCTTGCACCTTGGAAAACACATTCACCAAAGTTCTCATTCCTCGCACTGCCAGTTGATCAGGTGCCAGAAATCGTGTGGCCATACATGTACTTAGGCTATCATGACAAATCCGAGTGCTGTGGCACAACGTGTTTTTTTGGTGGAGTAGCCTAGCAGCTGTCTCGTGCCAGGCATTACCATGTTCCCGAACATGGAGGCGCAGGGGCCTGGCTCAGAGAGTTGACGCTGATGGCCTTGAGGACCCGCATGTCAGCTGGGTGATTTCACCAAAACAAGACCATGCGCGTGAGCAGCAGCAGCAGCAGCAGCAGGAGGAGGAGGAGGAGGAGGAGGGGGAGGAGGAGGATCAGGATAAGGAGGAGCAGGAGCAGGAGCAGGAGGAGCAGGAGGAGCAGCAGCAGGAGCAGGAGGAGCAGGAGCAGGTGCAAGTCACACACACACACAGAATTATTCGGACAATTTAGTCTAG